ATTTAGACAAAATATGTAGGTCTGAACTCTGATTTACAAAAGTCTGAATGCAAACATTTAACATTAAGTAATAACCTAAGAGTACAGTGGTGAAAAAAATATACATATGGAGAAGTTACAAGATACGATTAAAATATGAAGGAACTCAGGCAAAATTTGTTTTTTTTTTGTATATTTCATTCATTTATAAAAGCCCATTTAAAAAAACCACTTCAAAGTATTAAACTATAAATGGCAACATGTTTTCTTTGTGCATAGGAATGTTCCTACCAGCAACATACAAAAAATACAATGTGTCATTTATCTCATATTTATTCTTGTATAATTAACTTCGGAGATTCAAACAATTAATTGCAAGTGTACGTAACCCACTGAAAATAACTACAAGAAAGTAAGATATGTGCAGACACCCAGGATTTTGCCATTACAGTGCAATGTAGATGACATACCCATTGGCAAATACAGGAGCTGCAGAGATATTTATTTCACAATTTAAATGGGGCAAATTCTTAATAAAGGACTAGCTTACATCAGTCTTATCTATCCTCTGTCTGAACCATAATGTAAATTGATCCTAAAAATATTACTGTGAAATCTGATTTTCTCAGAATACCTGACTGGAGCTGATGCAGCAGGAAAAGAGCTCAACAGAGGCATGTTGAGCAATTTAGTATATTGTAACCTAAATAATGTAAACAGTATGAAGTCTGCTGGTCACCATTAAAGCTTTGGTGACAGCAAGCAGGAGATTCTGATACTCATTCCCCAGCACATTTGCATGGGTGCTATGCACTCATCTGAGTTTCTGCTGGTAAATCTCATCTTCTGAAAACCAAGTAATTAAAACCATCTTGTAAACATGGTCAGATTCTGCTACCTATTAGAAACAAGATTCAAGTAACCTCTGCAAAAATCACTGTTTTATTAAGTCTAACCTAAAACACATTTTATCATTACAGTAATGTTAAGATGCACGATAACTACATTCTGCATTTTCATTATATATTATGGCAGCTCTATACTAAAGAAAAATATGCATACAAAAAGCTACATACAAAATAAATGGATAGAAATGAACTTAGTAAACATTTTCAGTATTAAACTAAGCTTTACATACTGCAGCTTCTCTTTGGTATCTATTAGTGATACTGACAAGATGCCCTGTGTGTTGAATATCTAATTACATTTCAGGTATGGTGAACAATGGTTCCCAGGTGATCTGTGTTTACAGATATTTCAGTAATTGAAATATTTGGAGTCTCTTTAAACAGATGTCCGAATCCCTAAAACTTGCCTGGGTTCCACAAACTATATTGTAATGTAAAACTTCATATTCAGAAGATACTTTTGAATTTGGTTGGTTGCTGCTCAAACTGAAGACTGATTGCACTAGCCTTATCCTTCATTAGACGGTCTGGCAATAGACCTTAATTGTTACTTACAAATGCTACTTCCATTCCACTGTTGGGGCTCCATTGAGCTGAAATTGCAGTGCTTCAATGATGCAGACAAATGTCCACAAAAATTACTATAAACATACTAAAATCTGTTTCAAGCATGAACTTAGACTGGAATAGTACCTAAAAAATTTAGATACTTAAAACTCATAGAAGTGCAAGTGTTAGTGTGCCTAATTCTGACATATACTGTACGAAGACTAGCTTGTTACCTATGCATTCCACACAGTTTGGGTATGCTTACTAACACATTAGCGTGTACTTTCTTAAATCAGACAGCTAAAAACATTAGTAATGTCAAAAAATTTCTTCTAGAATTACCTAGTAAAAATCAGTCAGTGGAAGTCTAGGCTCAAAGATTACTTTCTATAAACTGATGTCAAATTTTGAGATAGTATTCTAAGAATTTAGTTGAGAAGAGATAGCATCTCTCTTTTCCTACATTCATCATACAAATTTGCCAAGAATCAGACGACCATTATTTAAAACAGTCTGATTATGTGGTACAAATTGTAAATGCAGGTACTGTTACATAAGCAAAAGCATTTCAAATTGAATTGAATTCTCTCACAGATTCACTTGTTTCATCTTTCCCCATTAAGGGACTTCTTTATCATCTTAAGTATTCAGAAATGGGAGGAAACCCTTACATAGGAAGAGAGAAGAGCTTTATATCAGGCTTTTGTCCTCAAACTGGAAGTTTAAAGCACATTACATATATTTAATATAAAATCGCTTTAAGAAACATTAAGCACACAGATTCTAATGGTACCAATATACTCCAGCAATCAAATAACTGGAATACTATTTGTGGCTGCAATGTGGAGGCATCTGAAGGCTTAAGCATTGGAACTGCTAGTCTACACTGGCAATGCTAAAGCACTGCTGTGGCAGCGCTTTAACGTGGCTTGTGTACTCGCGGCAGAGAGCTCTCCCAGCGCTCTAAAAAACCCAGCTCCATGAAGGGAATAGCTCCCAGCGCTGGTACACTTTCCTACACTGGCGCTGTACAGTGCTGAAACTTGCTGCGCTCAGGGGGGTGTTTTTTCACCCCCCCGAGCAAGAAAATTGCAGCGCTGTAAATTGCCAGTGTAGACAAGCCCTTAGTTGTCATCTCAGTATTTCTGTACTTGCACATATGGAACAGCTTTTATAAAACACAATCCAGCACTCACTATAATCATATTATCTCAAGAACACATCCACTGATCCTGAATGGGTGGGGTTCCCTTGATGCAGTGACTGGAAGTCTCTGAGTGATGGAATAGGAAGGCCTGGGCTGAAAGGACTTGCTCAGTAGGTTGCTCTCACAGGTTGTCCTGCCTCTGTAAGGCAAAGCGTGGAAGCAGTGCGCTTACAACTCCACTCAGCAGCAAAACAGCTTCCCCCCCTTCCCCCATCTCTTTCTTTCTTGCCAAATTTATTTTTATTGCTGGCTCTCTCCCCTTCTGCCTTTAATTCACTTTTCTTCACTCCAGTACAGAGTGCTCATGCCTATGCATGGGAAACTGCCAATAGGGTTGCTCTCCAAATGACAGCCTGGAAGATTTGATCCTGTTTCAGATGCTGTACCTATTGTATACCCAGAGCTCCTATGTCAGTTCTCAAAAAAGACAGCAAAGGTGACTCCCTGTATCAGAGAGATGCACCACTTTGGCCAGTGGATTCTATTTAGTTCTAGGAGTCCATAGTTGGGCACCCTTTAAGATCAGTTTCATGGTATTTCCTTTCCATCAATATGGTCTTTTCTGTGGCAATCACTTCTCCCAAGAAGGGTGGGCTGAACCAGGGGGCTCTTTGTTGAACCACCCAATGATGTTTTACATCCTGTAAAAGTGGCCTCAGATACTACCTGCTTTTACATCCAAGCAGAGCTCCTCCTTCACCAGCATCAAGAGTGTACTATTCTCATTCTAGTCTTACTCAAAACGTCAGAAAATCTGGCAAACTATGGCACTAAAAATCGATCTTTATCTGTATCCAGATCTATATATCAGTAGCACCAATTCTGTATGGAAGTCTCAATTCATTGTTAGTGGCTTATCTGAGATGCAGAGGAAAGAATGCTCCCAAAGAAACTACTGCTCACTGGAAACCACACACGGACATTTGGCTTAAGCTCGGAGGGCTTGTCTATATGCAGCTTTTGTACTGCTTTAAATTGTATTAGTTTAGAAGCCAATATAGTTAAATTGGTGTTAGCCTCTAGTGTGGATGCAATTATACTGGTATACTAAACAGATACAATTAACACAGTGTTTTTAGACTCAAAGGCAGTACTGTTAAGTGAGAGCTTGCCACAGTAGAGACCTAGGTTCTAGTCCCTGCTCTGCCAGAAATGACCCTCTGCAACCTCTTAGATCTTCAATTAGGTCATCTGTAAAATGCAGGGGGAAATACCCATAGTCATGTTTTCTATAATGATAGCTTGGGGTGCTTCACAGCCCTTAACACCCGTCAGTGGAAGAGGGGAGATGAAATCAGGGTCTTCTCGGTCTCAACCCAGTGCACCTTTCCCCGAGCCATAAGATATTTTGATGGGGAGATCTCTCTTTCCAAACCTAACATGTTGATTGCTAGAATTTGGTGACTTGTTTTTTTTTATTTTCAGTTAAGCAGAAGTTGCCAATATTTGAGACTGGCTGAAAGATTTCAGGGAAAAGGGGTTTGTAGCTCAAAAGAAGGCATATGATGTTTTTTGTGAATTCTGAAGTTGGTAGGTGCTACACTTTTTGTACAAAAGCAGTACAAAATTTTGAGAGACATTTTGCAAGACTTCTGAAAAGTGAAATTTTGGACCATTAAATTTCCTTCCATGAGTACACTTGCTAGTGACCAGAGCATGCTTAAAAATTCTCAGATCCCTCCCACTTTAAGCAGTACTTGAAAATATAAAGGAATAGGTACCATTTTAACTCCAGAGAGGACTTAAGGGCCCTGTGAGAGCAAAATCCTGCCCCAACTTTAACCTTAGTGTTTCCATAAAATACACGTTCAGTTTTGGAAGTAATCAGCCCAGGAACAAAAACATATAGGTGGGTCCCTTCATCCCTGATAAACTGCTCTGCTGCGTCCAATCCCAGTTTCAAGAGGACCCAATTGCACCTATTCAGGATCAGCAGATACCATATAGGGGAATAAAGAAATTCACAAGTAAGGGACATTTTTCAGGTTTGCTGGGTGCAATGTCAGTACCACTGAAAAATAAATATCATTAGTAGTCTTTTCTAAATAGGAGTAAGAAATGTGGATATGTTGTTTGCTGTGGGTCTCGAGCTTTGGATGGACTATATTCCCTACATAGGAAACATTTAACTTGCCTTTCATGAACAAGATAAAGAATTATGTAAAGTGCTTATTTCAGCTATTTTTCAGTCACTTCCACTTAAAATGAAAGTAAAAGACAACAGACTAAAGCATAAAATAAACTTCCAATACATTCCCCAAATGCATGATCCAACATTTACATTTCATCACAGATACTTGAACTGTGTCTAAATGGTACTTTAGAGCCAACAATAATAAAAAAAAAAACCTGTTTTTATTAAAAAGCTAAAGCAAATATAAAACAATGTTTATAAACCATCAAGTGTTCAATATAAAAAGCAGTAATTTCCTCCAGTTCCATTTTCCAATACAGTACAAAACTTACAATAAGTTTTCTGCTGCCACTAGGATCTTGCTGCTCTGTTACTGCCTTGTACATCCCATTTTGCACCCCTAACAGAAAAGTGTACTAGTTTGTTAGCTCCTTTCTGGATTGACAAATGTTTTGTATGTTGAGAGGCAACTGTAGGAAAAATAAAATTGTTGTTCAGGTTACTATATCTAAATGGTCACTTTACGGAGTCACATTCCTGATAGGATTAAAGAAATCAAATTACTAGGGGGCCCAATCCTGAAGCAAACAAGTGGAGCCCAAGTGAAAGAGCTTTACCTGCTTGGCATTTTGCTGCAACAAAGCAGGGCTGAAGGAAGGCGTTTTTAACCCCCACAGCACTACAGAGCCAGGGTACAGGGGTAGTAAGTGTGTGACCAGCTACCACTAGGTACTAGGAAGAGATGAAGATACATCGTGCTGCTCTTCTCTTACGTGGTGTTTGGGCCACATGTAGCTACACAGTGGAGACTCACTGGCCATGCTCTGTGTTTGTGGGCAACACATCCACTTTTCCCCTTTCTTGGTCCCCTGGAGACCTGCTATGGAAGTAACTTCTGCAGTGCACAGGAATATGGGATCTGCCTGCTTGGGTCTTGGCAGATCTATCCCCCCACAGCAGCAATGCATAGTTTCTGCTCTGTTTGGGCCTTGCTCACCCATGCAGGACACTTCAGGATTTGGCTCTTTTGTAGCAGTATATAAGTCAATGTTGCATAAATGCATATTAATAATCTTAAGGCATCTGTCTTACTTCCCTGCTCTGCAGCAGTGCTTATAAGCGTCCATTGTACTGTACAAAAACAATTTCTCATAAATCTTCTTTAACATGTTCACACTGTTCCATTTTACTGAGCAACTTCTTCCAAACAAAATTAATATTCAAGCACAAATGTGTCGCAGAAACCTAATTAAAGGAAATAAGTTAATTAGTGGAAGTGTAACATTAACTTTAATAAACATGTAGATCAGCTTCTATTTAAGAATTATATCTACCTACCTTATAATTAATTCTAGAAATAAGATTTTAAAACATATAATTTCAAGCTCTCTGCCTCTGGTAAGGCCCTGATTCATAAAAGTACTTAAACATGTACTCATCTCTATTCAGGGCAACATTTAAGCACAAGCTTATACGCTGTCCTAAATAGTGTTGCTTTCCTGAATCCGTTGTATTCTCTTCCTACAGCAGTTGCCCAGCTTCCTGCAAAGGACCTCAGTCTACCTATTTCTCCTACATGGTGACAGACTTTGGCAACCAGGGAAGTCCAATGGGGAACTTGCAATACAGGACGCCAATAGATGGTCCCTCTAAATTCTCCTTAACAACATAAAATGGTACATCATAACTAATAACAAACAACAAATAACAGTTGTGTCTGTATACAATCTGTTGCTCTTACGAATACTTTCTCGTTGCATTTTCCTTACAGAATTCCACCAGCTTTTTTTAAAGTCACTATTACAATCTAAATTAGTCATTGTAAATGTACTCAGGAAATACAGAGTTTTCATGTATGCAGCAGCACACCTCGTATTTCCCAAATATCAAATAAGAAAAGTATATACAGAAACCCTTTCATGCACAGAAAAATGTTACTGTCAATTTGAAGTGTGACTAAGCAGAGCCATTTGTTCTGTGTACAGAGATCGCTCACTGAAGCAGGATTTACCTCACGCCCACCGCTTTTCTGACCACATAAGCAAGAGCAGGACAAAACAACACATTGTTTAGCTGCTCCAGAACATCAAGAAAGCATTTAGCTTGGAATTGCCTCTGCAGCGATTTCCTTCCACTGGTGGGTTAAGGCTGGAATTCTTTGGCCTGCTTGCAGACCAAACTGGGGGGAAAGGCTGAGTCTTCTCAGCCCACAAATCCACTGCTACGGGGTTTGCTCCTTCTATCCACTTCTCCAGTTTCATCCCCTCCATCTGTTATGGCTCTATCCCAGGAACCTCATGCTCAGCTCTACAAATGAGCCTCCAGTTCATTTATCCACCAGACTCTATTCTTAAATCTACTCTTGCTCAGGGAAGGCTGAACTGAGTTACTATCAGACCTTAATTACTTCTGAAGCAAATAAATCAGAGGATGGTACTATTAAGAGGCAAGGTTCTCCGCTGTTTAATCAGACAGAGGAAGAGACTAGCCAACCCACATATTACTCTGCAGACAGAATGCTACGTAGAGCTACACCTCTAGCACTTGTGATGCACTGAAGAGGGAACTTTTTATTAAGAAGCTTCGAGACGTTCTCTGAATTCACAGACTGGATATTTTATGGCTTCAGATGGCCAGAAGTAATTTATTTGCTGTTTCTGTGTAAAATAATCAATTACATTGATCTTACCTTTTTCTCATTGAGATAATTGGTCATTAACAGACTGAGATCAGCTTTCCAATGAAACTATAACATGCTTTTTTGCACCTAAAAAGTGAGAGGATCATCATACAAAGTATGTAGTGCACAGACACTGGCTTTAAACCACAAAGTTTACGGTGCTGCATATATTTGTGTTTCTCACTAACAGAAATTGGTCCAATAAAGATATTGGCTCACCCACCTTCTCTCTCTATTTTACAGAAGTAATTTTCCCCTCCCTTTAAACCAAAGCACAAACCCATCCCAAACTAGAACATCCAGAACAGGAGACTAGAAAGTTGGAACTCTTAGATTTCCTTAATGCACTAATCTGTTTTGGATTAGATTATGAGGCACAAGTTAGCCTCATTCTAGAAATAAAATATTGACTTGATTCCATTTGACAAATTTTCCACCCATTAATATTTTATTTACTAAACTTTAAAAATCCATTAGGAAAACATAGCTCAACTATAAAGTATGATACCAGCTGAGATGTGACCCTTTACTTTATAAATTCTACCTGATTTAACATTTTCTTCTTCTGAGCCACCTTCCACCCACTGACTTTCATTGTCCAACAATCGATTTTGTGACTCACTGAGTGGCCTGACAGGAAAGGGCTGATTGGCTCCAGAACTGAAAACAGAGTACACAGAAGTATTGTCCAAAGTTAGATTTTGTAAGAAGCATACAAGTCATAAGTTATTGAAAAATTTAATAAAATTGACTTAAAAGTAAAACAAAAACACCAAACAGTCCAGGCAATGTAACTGGAAATTAAGTATATTGTTGCCCGTTTGAAACCTAATTTACGTATAGACTTGCTTCCGTGAAAATAGCCTCTGCTTGGACTGGTTAAGGCCATTTACTATTCTCATGGGGAAAATGGAAAATTGAACACGGAGGAATGCCTTGTTCAGAACTCCATGCTGCATTCATCTTGTGATTTCACCTACACAATTGCCATATAAATTACAAAAATAATGTAGCCAGTACTTCCTGAAAAAGAAAAAGCAGTGTATAACAATGGGACAAGTTAATGTTAGGGGGCTTCATTCAGCATGCGCCTAATGCAATAGGCTACTTCATTATTTGAGCCATAATCCTGCTCCATTGTTTAAGTTTAAGCAAGTTCCACAGGTTAGTTATCTTGCATAAAAAAAGTATGTTTAATTTATTTTATAAAAGTTGGCTTTTAATTTCTCCAAAGCCCATCTACACCAGAACACAGAACTGTTGCCAGAATGATTTAAGCCATGGATTCCTCTTAAGTGCTAGTGTAGGCTGGAAAATAATAGCACTTCAGAAAGACTTAGTTCCATGTACATGTACAAATCTTCACCAAGTCTGAATCCAGCTTTCTGAAGAATACTGAAGACAGTTTTGTCCTCTCTAAACTAGCACACTTTTCAATATCAGCAAACTACTAAAAATCGTTGCCAGCAACAGTTCAATTTCCTCAAACAGGTAGGGCTTGAGTGTCCCCTTGTTTATGCATTTACGGGACTATGTGAAATGGTAAAAACACCACCAATGTCATTTGTTACTTTATACACATCTACCTCTTTCTAATCCTTCTCTAAAATTGTATTATTATTTTAGTCTTTTCAAATCCCTTCTCATAGGCCTTCAAATTATATTATTTGCTAATCTTTGGAACTTTTCTATTATGTTCTTCTTGAGAAGTAACTAAATCTGAAAGTGTTCACGGTGAAGATGTATCATTAGGGCCCTACCAAATTCACGGCCATAAAAAACACGTCATGGACCGTGAAATCTAGTCTTTTGTGTACTTTTAACCTATACTACACAGATTTCACAGGGGAGACCAGTATTTCTCAAACTGTGGGTCCTGTCCCAAAAGGGGGTGGGGGTGGGGTCGCAAAGTTATTATAGGAGGGTCGTGGTATTGCCACTCTTACTTGCGAGCTGCCTTCAGAGCTGGGTGGCCGGAGAGCAGCAGCAGCTGGCCAGGTGCCCAGCTCTGAAGGCAGCACCCCGTCAGCAGCAGCAGTGCAGAAGTAAGGGTGACAATACCATACCATGCCATCCTTACTTCTGCGCTGCTGCTGGAGACAGTGCTGCCTTCAGAGCTGGGCTCCTGGTCAGCTGCCGCCGCTCTCTGGCAGCCCAGCTCCGAAGGCAGCATTGCTGCCAGCAGCAGCACAGAAGGGTATCAATACTGCGACTCACCTATAATAACCTTACAACCCCCTTTTCCCCCACAACCCTCTTTTGGGTCAGGACGTCTACAATTACTACAGCATGAAATGTCAGATTTAAATATCTGAAATCATAAAATTTACAATTTTTAAAATCCTATGACCGTGAAATTGACCAAAATGGATCGTGAATTTGGTAGGGCCCTATCACCAATCTATCCATTTATATTTTCGGTATTGGTGTCTATCCCCTTAATACGGTCACGTAAATAACTTATTCCTTTCTTTTTTGATCACTGCTTTGCACTGAGGAGACATATTCATTGTGCTGTCCACCATTGTTCCTCAACCCACCCCATCTACCTATGAAGGATTACAAACTAATTCAGGACCTACTGGTGGGTGCAACTAGTTTAAAGTGGCCTTTCAAACTTTCACTTAGTTTATTCGCCAGATGAAAGATGAAATGAGACATAAATAAAAGCACAGAAATACAAAATAAATAGCTGAAACTAAATACCTTTTGGGGGGTTCATTTTGGCTTGAGACAGTAAGTTGCTCTGGATCCATAATCACCAGGCGAGTTGGAAAATTACAACCATCACCCAAGCTACACGATGAAGGAAACATTAAGTAAATCAATATTGGAAGTGTATTAAAATGAGCTAGGTAAATCCAGTTGAATAGGTACTGGCATGAAAATCAAATGTCACATGTCAGAACTAGTTAGCTTAAGTGCCATGCTGCACTCCAAACCCCAGTGAAAACAGGAACTGCACATAGATCTCCTGCATGCCAGTGCAAAGTTCTACCGTTTAGCTATGTGGCCAGGCCAGTTTCTGGCTTTCGGGCAGGCCTATGAAATAACTTTTGCCCTTCTCTGCCTAAACAGATTGCTGTCTGTCATGACTGAGTCACAGCACCAGACTATAGATTTTAGTAAGAACTACTGAGATGATTCTTTGGGATGTGACCCAAAAGTAATTGATTTTTTTTTGTATAAAATTGTGTGTGAAAGCATGTGAGAGAGATTCACACATCCCATTGTACAAATGCATGCAGGTGATCTGGCATTTAAACTGGCAAGAGCTGTAGTGTAGGCAAGGCTCCAGTGGCCAGACCTATTTTTACCACACCTTCAATAAACCTGCTTTTGAAGCCAGTCTAAATTAAAATGATAGGAAAAAAAACTGGTCTGGCTGACAGAGGCTCATCTACGCTATAGATCCCCGTGGTTTTAAACACCATTCTAACACAGGTTCATCTGAAATGGTATTAAAACTGCTGGGAAATTATTTGTCAATTTCTCTACCACAGACAGAGCCTTGTATTGCTTAGTCTCGGAATATTTTCTCGTAACACTTTTAATCTAATTATGTGCGGTCAACAATGAAGGCAAAATTGTGTCAGACAGTTATTTTTAAAATTGTTTCTAAAAATGTCATCTTACATCAGTGTTCTTGTAGCACAGGTGAAGCCTGAGAGTTCACTGGTCTGGTCCTTTGTGTTGCTGGGCTCCTGCTCTATGTAAGGCACCAGACCACTGTCATTTGAAACTGTTAGCATCTTTCTAAACACTGTTCAAGAAGTGTTTTCAACATCTCAGTTTGGCAGGGCCCTACGCTCCCTTGTGATCAAGGCTTAACTCTTCAGATTAGGGTCCTCAGTGAAGTTTGTTCAGCTGTTTACTGTACACTTTCACGCACCAACCCCTAAATTCCAGGAGTTATGCATATTTAGTTTGTTTTTTAAAGTAGTGGAATCCATGGTTCTCATAAGGAGTATCAAGTCTTACTTAATACCTTGTAAAAACAGGCAGCAACCAATACTTCTTTTCATCTCCAAAAACCTCTTTCAGATTTTTGCTGCATCCGAGAGAGAAGCCATTTTTGTCAGGGCCATTTCGAAATGTGGGTGCCCGGAATGCTTCTGTTTAAAAAAGGAAATTAACAATTTTAAACTAAGCAACATACTTAGACAGCATGGAAATGAACAAACAATTTCTCTTCATTACTATGTTTACTGTAGGCAATGGAAAGATACATGGCATTCAGACAGTGAGTTTAGTGAAACTAATATCAACAATGCCTTAATATGCATTACAGTAAAACACTGATGTCAAGTTTTAGCCATTAAAAATATGGCAAAGATCTAACAAGGTAAGTGACATAACAGCAATGAACGGTAAAACTTTAAATTTGATATGGGACGTGCTTTTATAACATGTCTATTTTATTTTATTTAGATTTGACAGTCGAAAGAATACTAATACAAAACCTGAAACCCCGACTATAATTAGGCTTATAACAACTACCCTGCCGCATTAATACAAATCTACAAATAAATTAACCACTAGGCAGTCAGTGCCGATCTTGGAGCACCAGTGTTGCATACTCCCAGTGAGATACTGTTTGATAAGGGAGTTGCTGCATTCTGTACCAGCTTCAATCTTCAAATAGTTTTAAAGTATAGCCTCATGTACAGCGCATTGCAATAGTCTAATCTTGATCTGAGAAGGCCTGTCTAACAGAAGCAAAGACCACAATCAGAAGGAAAGGCTGCAACTAGAGCTGAGTGAATGATCTGATTGATGAAAAATCTGAGGAGGGGGGAAAAAAAAAATCAGAAAAAAATCAATAGGACTTGGGCTACAAAGTCACGTAGGCACTTTTAAAAATGTTATCCAAGTGCTTTAACTTGAACACATGGTAGAAAAAATACCCATTGTACTGACCAGCAAGACTCAGTTTACAGCAGGCAAGGGAAGCATCATTATGGACCAATCCTATTCAACTTATTTATAAATGATCTGGAGAAAGGGGTAAACAGTGAGGTGGCAAAGTTTGCAGATGATACTAAACTGCTCAAGATAGTTAAGACCAAAGCAGACTGTGATGAACTTCAAAAAGATCTCACAAAACTAAGTGATTGGGCAACAAAATGGCAAATTAAATTTAATGTGGATAAATGTAAAGTAATGCACATTGGAAAAAATAACCCCAACTATACATACAATATGATGGGGGCTAATTTATCTACAACAAGTCAGGAAAAAGATCTTGGAGTCATCGTGGATAGTTCTCTGAAGATGTCTGCGCAGTGTGCAGAGGCGGTCAAAAAAGCAAACAGGATGTTAGGGATCATTAAAAAGGGGATAGAGAATAAGACTGAGAATATAGTATTGCCCTTATATAAATCGATGGTACGCCCACATCTTGAATACTGCGTACAGATGTGGTCTCCTCATCTAAAAAAAGATATACTGGCATTAGAAAAGGTTCAGAAAAGGGCAACTAAAATGATTAGGGGTTTGGAACGGGTCCCATATGAGGAGAGATTAAAGAGGCTAGGACTCTTCAGCTTGGAAAAGAGGAGACTAAGGGGGGATATGATAGAGATATATAAAATCATGAGTGATGTGGAGAAAGTGGATAAGGAAAAGTTATTTACTTATTCCCATAATACAAGAACTAGGGGTCACCAAATGAAATTAATAGGCAGCAGGTTTAAAACAAATACAAGGAAGTTCTTCTTCACGCAGCGCATAGTCAACTTGTGGAACTCCTTACCTGAGGAGGTTGTGAAGGCTAGGACTATAACAGCATTTAAAAGAGAACTGGATAAATTCATGGTGGTTAAGTCCATTAATGGCTATTAGCCAGGATGGGTAAGGAATGGTGTCCCTAGCCTCTGTTTGTCAGAGGATGGAGATGGATGGCAGGAGAGAGATCACTTGATCATTGCCTGTTGGTCCACACCCTCTGGGGCACCTGGCATTGGCCACTGTCGGTAGACAGTATACTGGGCTAGATGGACCTTTGGTCTGACCTGGTACAGCCGTTCTTATGTTAGGAAATATTTGTCAGTATTTCCATTTTTCTGTATTACTTTGAGTGTTTTATAAAAAGTTTTCTAGTAGCAAGGTCCCCTCTTTTATTCCCTCTATACCTCATAACATTTCTGGGGCATGGATTGTGTCTTTCTACATCTACGTACAGCACCCAGCACAATGGTGCCATGATCTTGGTTGGAGCGGTGGGGTGCTACTGTAATACAAATGATTTGTACTGTGGTAATGCCTATGTGTTCCAACCAAGGATTAGGGACCTATTATGCTAGGCATCATACAAAAATACAACAAAAAGATAAAACAAATAACTGAAATCCATCGTGCACCCACACCTTTGGTTCCAGACAGATAACTCTTTACACTCAATTATCTCACAACAGAACCTTTCAATTAAATTACTTCCACTGAAAATGTTCCACTCTCCGCAGGATTTTAGAATTTCCCTTAAACATTATGCCACTTCCTGCAGAACTCAAGCTCACATCAGTATCAGTTTTCTGGCCAAAAGGCAACTACATATTCCAATTAACTGACCTATTGTTGATCTGTTTTTGCTGACTAGCCAGCAGTGGTAGCTGAAAAGTGACAGTATGCTGATGAAGAACATGGCAGCCACAAAGAAAAGGAAAAGTACATGGAATTTTGCATGTGAGTCTGGCAGATCATTCTGGGGAGAAAAAAAATGAAGATTAATATTAACCCTTTTTAGCAAATAATCTAGCATCCTCAGTAAACATCCCACTCTACACTTATTCCCCTCTGAAGCTTTTTTCCATTCACTTTGCATAATATGCTGCATCACTAATATTCCATATTATCTGAAGCGGTTCAGAGCAGTGGATCACAGTGATTAGCCTGATGGTAACCCCATTCTGTCTGAATTTTACCTACTGTTCCTTGTAAACACCAACATAACTGGAAGCGAGCAGTATTTTCTATGTACATTTGACAGCACTTTTGGTATAATCTCTTTCATGTTAGGGTGGGTCTTCCATACAGCAACAGGGGAGAGAAAATTGTTTTTAGAAACAGGAAAATTTGGACTGTGAAACCACAAGAATCAACAGATGGACTCAGGGAAGGTGCTTAAACTACTTTTAATTTAAAAACTGACTTGATTTTAAGTTGACAGTGTCCCTGTTAACATGCCCCCAAACTGGCAGCGAAAGCAGAGAGGAACTGGACTAGTTACACAATGTCTTGTCTAAAATATTTTTAAATGTTGGAAACATTAGGGGCTAAATCCACAAAGGGATTTAGGTGCCTAAGTCCAAAGTTTAGATCCTCAAACCCTTTGCTCAGCTGCCGCTTAACCATGAAAGTGCTTAAATTCCCTAGGTGTCTACATTTCTGCCAGTGGGCATGTGCAAAGTTGTGCAAGTCCTGAGTTGCTCAATGCCTAAGACCCAGCGGGATCTTCAAACTGGGCATTCCAACTCCTAGGTTGCCTACAGCGCCCACATCCTGGGTGTTCTCAAAGGTCACCTAAGAGCACACTTACTGGATTGGGCCCTGCACAAAACAGAGGAGGAGGACTTGCTAATGCCCGTGGCTCCCCGCAATAGGCCAGGGGTCAGGGCATTCACCTGGGAGGTTTAAAGGAATGATTTCTAGTTCAAAATGAATGATTTTGGGGAAGTTCTATGGCGTGTGTTATACAGGTGGTCAGACTAGATGATCACAACAGTCTTTTCTGACCTTGGAATCTATGAGGTTCATGGCCAAGAATGTCAAAATAAGAGAGCTGCCTAAGACCCATCCCTTTCCTCCAATTCCTACTGGCTAGTTTAGGCAGCAGGGCTAAGTCCCCTTGGTTGATCTAGGCCTAGTTGCTTGAGTTAGACCAGCTTAAAACACAGCCAGCACTTACACAGCAAACCACTACAGGCCCGTGCCCATGGCAAAATTATGGCGATCACATTTTTATGTAGATCAACTTTTCTTGAACTACAACTTCAGTACGTCAGGTACAAAACATGATTTTAAAAAACAAACAAAAATATTAGGCATTCACTTTCTTCCCTATCTATTTTTAGGGTTTGCTGTATACTTTTACAATAGGCCAATGAGTTTTTTAAACAATAAATGGTTTAATTACATACGCTCAAGAACTCAATACTTTTAAGAAGTTGACCTTTAACAGCATTCGGAAATTAGAGTATCTATTTTTATTCAGAGGTGTAGTTGGCCTTATTGCCATTTAATTTTCCATTAGTCCATTCAACACACACTTATCTGATGTTATCTGTCATACATTTCAATTAAATCAAACACACAAACACTCTATACCACCTGTCCTATATGGAGAAAGGATTACAGGTTTTTTCCAATTAGGTAACAAGGTAAACAACTATCACAAATGAATGGACTAGAAAAAGCACAGTAGGAACAATTTCTATATTAATCACATCAACACAGGATTTTACCTTTGGACAATTCTCTGCAGATTTCCTGCGGCAAAGCTTTGCGCAAACAAAGACAATTTATTATATACCAGTATTACTTCAAGACAAATGTTTGAAAACAGCACAGGCTTTGTTCGGAAAGCAATGGTTAGTGTGCACATGTGTTCTAAAACATGCAGAGTTCCAATGCCCATTAGAAGTCTTATCTTTCATTCATAAAGAAAATGGGAGCAAAGTGCACAGGAGCAGATTGCCAACTCTTTTTTGAAAGCCTGAAGTGCTCTGTTGGTGTGTGTAACTGGCAACATTTATACCATGTATGGGGCGCTTTCAACATGTTTCCTCAGCTTTCCCAATACAGTTGCATCAGGTGCTCTCTCCATTAGTAGTTTTCATCTAACTGTCTTTTAATTTTGTAACTGAGGTTTAAAAAACATTGACTATGAACAGAATATTCAGGGGTCAGGAAAATAACTCAAGCTCAGCATACCTTAGAGGTGCAAAACAAATGCTGTACAGTTTAGTGATTACACATCTATCTGCATTTCCAATATACTCATTACCACAGGTTGGAGTTGTCAGTCAGGGGGTTGTAAATATGAAGAGGAGAAAATTTTCCACTCAGACATGATGTTTGTTTTTCAGTTGTGCTGGGGAAGTAAAACATTTAGGAATGGGCTCTAAATGAGGCAGAATAAAACGGTTTCTCTCTCATTTTCTCTAGTCAGTCATAGCTAAAAAAATAAAAACTGCCCATACAAATACACATGTGATAATGTTCCCTGTCCTGCAGTGTCCTTTTGCGTGAAGGCAAAAGGGTCTTATACACTGATCTGGGATGCCTCCCACCAGTTAACTGAAAAACTCTAGGCTTCCCCTTCTGCAACAATAAAGCCCTCTCTAAACTCGGACTTCAAGTGTGATGTTAGCACACGTTAGCTAACACTTTAAAAGTCTAGCGTGGGCAAGACTGACTGCTTTAAACATATGTAAAGCTGATCAAACAAAAGCCTAAGCTTTAACTTGAACAGTTTAGCACATGCTAAAGGCAGCGTCCCTTGTCCACACAAGACTTTTAAAACGTGTTAACTAACATCACATCTTACATCCAAGTCTAGACAAGGCCTAAGAGAGCAAGGTACAACTGCTCTCTCCACCAACACATCAAGGCTAGGCTCCTTGACCTCGCAACATCCTTACGTAGGGCCATTTAGTTACTGATGATTTCCATTTCTTAGGGCTGCCATTCTCTCTCTCTTTTCTTCAAGAGACCCAGCCATGTTTTAACCTCTTGACATCAGGGTCAGCGGAGGAGATTAATTGCTTCTCTCTGCTGACCTCCACGCTGGGGTAGCCAAGCCTCTTTCCAACCCAAGATAGGTGGTCCTCTTTCTGGGGGACACAGCTTGAAGATTAAGAAATACAGATCCACAGAGTAAACAAGAAAGTTACAGAGGTGCTTTTTATTCCAGGGAGGCAGAATAGCCAAGGCTCTGTCAACAGAGTTTGCAGGCTAAGTGATAAGAGAAAAATTCTCAAAACTGTAAAAGTACTAGAACTTCAAGGTGTCAGATTTTTCCACTGTAAAAAACACATTTTCAAGGGTTGATAGCAATTCTAATACAACTTTCATGAAACATGGCACACATCTTCAGTTTGAAAAAAAAAATTTTTTTTAAACAATTTAAAAAAATCCACTTGGCTATTTTGGAATTATATTTCTGTAAAACAGACAAAGTAATTCTTGGAGAACAGTATTTTCTCAAAGCAAAATATTTAGTTTTTGAAATAAAATTTGATCAGGACCTGGTCAATACTGTGGTTAAATTGCTGCTGCTGTTCTGAACTTTAGAAATTGTTTACCTAACATGGGCAGAACTCATTTTGGTAAAGATATTTTTTGATTGTTCGTGTAACAAAATAGCCAAGCGGATTTAAAAAAAAAAAAAAAAAAAGTTGTTTCAAACTTCCTCTCCTTTTACTTCTATTCATCTTCCCCACAGAATATTTTCTTATCTCATTGTTCTCCTCATACTGCCCTCATTCCACACAGGCACTCTCATTTATAGGGATTTTCTAAACATCTAATAGCCTGAGGTCTCAACTAAAATGAAGGGCCCTATTGGCTAGTAGCAATGCCCATGTGAGAATCTAAGCTCCTCCCACAGCCTTCCTCTCCCTGCCTGCAGCTGTTGCAAAAGGAGATTTGGGATTTCTACTACAATGTTGTCCCTAGATCTGCTCGAGGGCTCCATTTTTGTAGTGTCCAGATAATGTATGCTTGGTAAGTATGAAGTTTCCATTCCCCACTGGCTGTTGGAAGAAAAAAATAGCTCTGTTCCCCCACTTCAGCCTCAGAGCCTACTGGCTGTTGCAAGGGTGGTGCTGTTGCACTTATCCTATCTATGTACCTATATATGGTCTTATCACTTTAAAATCTAAGAACCCCTGTACTAGGCTCTGTTTTTGAATCCATCTTCTGCCTTTACTCAGAGCTTTCCCAAGCTGCAGCAGAGTAAATTTCATCTGAAACTTGTCCATGTTGGGTCAGTGCTGTCTCAAAGGTCCTCAACAGGAACAGTGAAAACTAACAAGCCTGATCAATTTTCACTTTGCTTTGCAAATAAGATATGAGCAGCTGCAGAGGCACTGAAGCTAACAGTCTTCAGACAGCAACACATCAGTTATACCTGGTTCATATCTGGAAGGCTTTCTTTACAACTACTGAGACTAGAATATTTCAAAGAAAACAAATCACACATAGCAATAAAGTCTTAGATTCTGCAGAAGTTGATGGCATTCATCTAGAAAAGCTTCCTACACACCACACACAAGTGAATTTTGTAAGCCATGCTGATGAAAGTGCCACCACTGCTCTACAGAAGTCTTATTAAAATGGTCAACTATTTTAGTCTCATTATAATTTATTTTAGGTACATTAAATGCAGGAGTGTATAAGTGGCTTGAATATAGGTATAAAGTATAGTTTTACTTTGAAAAGTGATTGTAAGAAAGGCATTGAAAGAATTCAGGATTTTGTGTCTTAATGATTTCGATAACAAGTGTGTGCAAGTTTACAATTAAAAGATGTTTTTCCTACTGCAAGTCCAGCAACCTCATTTTGAAATTTGTCAAGATGGGTTCTTTCCACTCTTGAATATCAAAGTTCTGCATGCCAAATTAGACCCACACTCATAATCAAAAATGTTCTGTTGTTGATGCACTGAATCCTGCTCAATCTTTCTAAGTATGTTGGCTCTGCAGTGCTACCAGACATAAGAAGCATCACATACCTGTTTTAATCACTAAAGCAAACAGATATAATTGAATATACAAATGAAGCAGTACTGCTGAGTAAGATAAGACCACTTTTTTTTTTTTTTTTTTTAAACAGTCAATTATCAGAAACGACACATGTTTGCAGGGAATATTGAAGTCTAATGATTACATAAGAAGCTCTTAAGTTTCCTCTCTCCACTCAGAGAAGTCCTCTCCACTATTGTGTCTGATGGGCTTTGGAAGAGATTTTCTGTAAATAGGTGGTATTAAATAATGCTCATTATGGCCGAATGTCCAGACACAAGACTTCCACTGTAATAAGACTTATGAAGTGAGGTGACAAAGCAAATCAGTCCTCTTTCCTGCATATCTGCTCCCCTACTGATCTGTAAAATACAGAGGGCCACATCCACATTGAGCCACTTCACAAACAAATTAAAGATTCAATCGTGTATATTCAATAAGATTGAACATTAGAGTTAGACCATTTAGTTTTGAGAAATTTGCCAAGGCAATGTTTTAATGAGGAAATTAGTAACATATCCGACTGAATACAATCATAGAGCCTGATCCTGCAAAGCACTGACACTCAATTCCCACTGAGTTCTTTGGCTCTACACTGATGGGCCACAATGTAAAATTGATATATTATACTGAAAGGTAGCACTTCGTAGAATTGGGCGTACAGCCTGGATGACTACTAACACCATTTATACCATTTGTCTTTCTTAGACATCAAAAGAACAACTGTTTCAAGTGTAGCTACTCCGAACGTATCGTGTAGTCTTATACAAAGAAAGAGATCCCTGATATAGCTACATCTTTAGGCTCCAAAAACTGTCATCCTTACAGCTCTGAGGATAATTACCATTTTGCACAGCTGCACAGATGGCAACTTGTGTCTAAGAGGCAGTCACAAGTTTTAAAAGTTGTGAAGAAGAGCCTTTCACTGATGACAATTCTTCCAATAAATTATTTTTCAGTAGCATTAGCTGAATTCTGAAAGTAACTACATCTAGTCCTATGTATCAGGAAGGACAGTAGGCACAATGCAAGGCTTTAATATTAGGAGAGGGAATGAAATAGAAGATACTCTATTGAGTCTGGAATGTGCACTTCTCTCTGGAAGAGAATTGGCATAAAATATAATGTATAAGGATGCTTCCACTGATAAGGCTCTATTCAAATGAATTTGTGTAATAGAGTACGTGCATATTGTCCATTTGAACACTGAAAACAGTTGCAGTGAAAGTAAACAGTATTAACACTGCACATACTTCGCATAACTTCTTATGATGCCCATGTCTGGTCAGTAAACACTACTAACCTCAAATTGAAATTTGCCATTATAAGCACTCAGTATTAAAACCAAACAAATTCATAATGAATAGGCACATTTAGCTGTCTCTTCTGCTCGCAGAATATCCACAAGTAGATTTCTATTTCCTTGAATTTGTTATTCAAATCTGACAATATTTTCCATCATTTGTTTTACTCTGTTGCTTGGATTATAAGCAGCTCTCTGTAAGTATCCAACACACATATTTGAAAAATTGAGCTGTGCTGTTCAATTTTGGGCATCAGAGAAGTTGCATTTTATTGTTTTTGAATTTCCACCCTCTCTACTCTCCCACAGTATTTGTCCAGCTCTACTCAATGTAGAACTTAATTCATTTAATTTCGGAAGGTTCTCTTGCTTCAGTCACCTCAAGTGATGCTGCTGTTGATGGTACTGATCCACAAAACAGACAAAAATGGATGACATGATGCTCTGATATAGATTTCAGTAATGCATGCTAATTTAACAAAAAGCAAAACTTACTGTCCAAAACTTTATGAAGTACTGCAAGACCGTAGCGGCAACAAACAGACAGTACAATAAGGAGTATAATAAAAACAGGAGGAAGAATTTGTAGTTAGAAAATCCCACACAGTTATTCACCCTAAAAGAGAAAGAGAGATATAAAGATTAATCAAACTGTTTTTGTGGGGCACCATTGTATGTGCATGATTTCAGCAGTCTGTCAATTGGGACAACGTTCCATCAATGAAAAAGTTAAGATTTAACATTTTAAAATCCCCTTTTTCAAGAATATTCCCTTAAGTCAGGTGATCTGGGCTCCTCCCATCACTCCTGCCACTGAAATAATTTTGCTGAACAAAGAGTAGCCTGATGACCAGCACCATTTCTGGCCAGATTTCTTATATAAAAATATGAAGTCTTGCCAGACATCAGAGACCGTGAGCCACTGGGGGCCTTTCCATTGACTTCAATGGGTGTCATGTTAGGCCCTAGAACATCTATTAATGTTTACCACAACTAGCAATATCTGCTGGGATGGCACGTCATGTGTAGGGAAATAAAAACTGCATGATATTCAATAGGGTCTACATGTCCAGGTTGCAATTCTACACCCTGAAATGAATCCTGCATGGAAAAAAAAAATATATATAGCAATACAGTAACTCCTCACTTAACGTTGTAGTTATGTTCCTGAAAAATGTGAGTTTAAGCGAAACGATGTTAAGCGAATCCAATTTCCCCATAAGAATTAATGTAAATAGGGGGGTTAGATTCCAGGGAAATTTTTTTCGCCAGACAAAACACACACACACACACACACACACACACACACACACACACACACACACA